GTGTGTGTGTGTGTGTGTGTGTGTGTGTGTGTGTGTGTGCATTAGGGGAGACCTGAACAATAAGTGTGTGTCTGCGAAGTCAGGCAGGGTCATGTATAAATACACCTTTAATAACAGATCAGTGAGTGTGTACAGAGACATGCCAGCAGCTGTTGTAGTGGCTCAAGGAAGACAACTAGATTAGTGTTGATCAGATCAAAATCACAAAGATTAATATACAAGATTCAGGACTGGAAATGTGATTGGTCTCTGTTCAGTGGCAGCACACCATGACGGACTGTTGTAGCTGTTGTAGACAAAGGTTTGGAAGCAAATTAAGTCGCAATAATCAATTATTTTTTAACTAATTATAAATTAATTGGCGACTCATCAATGATATCGGTGGTGATAGTTCTTTATCAAACAGCAGTGTCTGTCTGAAGAGACAAACCTAAGAAGCCAACAGTTCATTCGAGCTATCATTTCCTTTGAAGCACCCAGGCTTTATTACCTTCATGCACTGACAATCCAATAACACTTAAACTGATCCCTAATACACTTCCTCACTCTTGTCTGATGCCATTTAGTTTCAAAGAAAGACATGAGGTGAGCAGCAGATTTTCTTTCTAAGAAAACTATCCTGGATAATAAAATTACTTTCATTATTACACAGGATAGGTAGAAAAAAATATGTATACCAAAACAAGTGAGAAATTGTTAATGAATATAAATATGAACACTTAAGAGTCTAGATTCATTGCATGTGGATATTATGTGTTTAAATGTTTTAGTGGATGCGTTCTGTGTTCACACCTTCTCCCATAGTGGTGGCACTCGGGCATCATAGATGCAGTTGAAGGTCTCCTCCATGCTTGACGACATCACCACAAATCCTTTGATTCCCCTTTCCAGCTCCACTAAAGATGTACTAATACATAAATACAGCAACAGAAAAAACATTTGAAGACTTTCCTTTTAGACGGTTAATTTTGGTGGTTTTACCAAGACATGTACACACATTTTAATAACGAATCTATTGTTTTTAATCACTCCTAATAACCCCCTTTATCTTTGTTGGAATAACAAAACAATGAATTAATATTGAAATGTTAAGGTACATACATGACAGTTTCCAGCAGAGAATTGTATCTCTGGATCTCTTGCAGCAGGACGACATTGAGAGGTGAGGGGTTGTGCTGGAGGAGGATCCTGGTGCCCTCATAGTCAATCAAGGCTGGGATTTTCCCACGGACATCAGCCAACAACTCTAGGACCTAGAAAAGCAGATGTGACCGGTTCACCTTCTCTGGCCACACACTTTTTATACTAAAACATACACACACTCACTCTCAATATACATCAGAAAAAAAACAATCATAACCTAGCAACCACGTAAACCTATAAAAAAGGGAAGAGGGTTATTCAACGTGAAAATATTTTCAGTATAGCAGTACCATATCATTTAAAGCACATAGAGAAAGTGTTCTGGTTTGATCTGAAAGAAAGCTTCAAGAGATCCTGAAAAGTAACCCTTCAGGCCTATCCCAGTACTTTATCCCCTGAATTCCAAGATCTGTATCTTATTACACTGATGACTGTCAGCCAACATTATGTAACTATATGGTTGTTTGAGCGTTGCAGGGAAATAACAAGCAAATGTGGCTGGCTGGCTTCATGTACAGAGTGTTTTTCATCCCTAAATAATAGAGCCTCAGTCATTTTCAAATAATACTGCACTGTAAAAATAATCATTCCAAATATGGATCAAATTGCAAACTATTTGTGTCATGTTATACACACTGGTGAAAAAGAAGAAAAGCCCTTGATTAGGCTGTTGTGGAAGAATTCAGTTCAACCCCATCAGCCATATCCAAAACAGTGGGACGAAAACCAGAATTCAAACCACACTGTACATAGACAAGAAATGTAATATGCTGATTGTAAAAGGGGATTTTTTGTGTGATTTAAAAACAAAAAAATATGTTATCAATCTAAACGCCAAGATGTCAGCGAGCATGCTTCACCATGTACAATGAAGTGGGTCAACATACCAACAAACTGCGCTGCATTTGTTGCTGTACTAGTGTTGTGGTGGGTTACCATAGAAAACACATCGGTAGCAGACAAAAATATATGGAATCAAATTAATTACAGTAAAGGAAGTAAACTTGCAGCTGTTACTATAAATCTACAATCATTTGGGCTTTAATCTTCACCAACAGTTCAAACTAAAAACACTAATCTATTAATGCAGTACTGCATAGGTCGACCTTCTGCAGAGGGAGTGTGTGTGTGAGTGTAAGAGAGGGGCGTGAGCATAGAGGCCAGAGATGAGAGAAAAAACAGCAACCTGATTTTGTTACTTAGGTTACACTTGTTCACTGTCATTGGCTGCCGTCTACACACCTGCTGCCCAAAGGCTTCAGACAAAGAACGTACCAAGCAAAGAAAGGAAGCGAGAAAAACATAGACAGAGGGGTGTGTATTTTCAGGGAAATACACAACCATACACTGCTAAAAGGACCTAATGTTTGGTATAGTTATCACAGCGTTATTCTGTTACAAATGCAGCTCAGCCAACCTTTAAATTATTTTGATCTCTTAGGGTAATAGAAGGGCTCCCCCTTAAGCAATTACAGGGTCTAATCAGCATACAGTACTTATAATTTATACACATATTGTAGTCATTTTACTGGTACAGGAGTTGTTGCTTGCACATATTTGACCTTTGGGAACTGCTCCTCATCCCATCAAAGCTTAGAGAGAATAGGGATGGAAAGACCAGGGCGACAACATCAGTGTTTGTTTGCTGAGACCAAAGAACAAATCTGTTCATGATTTTTAAAGTTTTGTGAACTCTACCAAAGTTGTTAAACCTGTAGTTTTTAACTGGTAATAAGATAAAAAATCCTAATCTGAATGGATGCAGAGCAAATTTTGAAAAATACACACACTACAACTCTGATATTAAGAATAACCGCAGCACTGGTTGAGTAAAAAAGATATCTGTTGCTCCAATAACCTTGTACACTAAAATGGAGTGAAAACACAGGAACCTGATTAAATATCAACTACACAGATTTTTTGTGACAGTGTTGAAGTGAGATTAGATTAAAATGTGATCATCGTAAAAACTTGGACAGACGATTTTTTTGTTAGCTCTACATTGTGATGACCACAGATTCACTATCACACACACATAGAGAGACAAATATGAAAAGATGGGTTGGCCTTCATCACACTGAATGGAATCAAATTATACTTGATAGATTTGAAAATGGAAAATCATGCATTTATCATTTAGATACCTATCAGAGCTTTAATTAAATCAGCTGCAAGAAAATTAGGTTAGAGGATAACCTAAAAGTGTTAAAAATTCTCTTGCATCCCCTAACAGACCGCAGAGGCATAAGACAGATCTCTTAAAACCCTTTTTTTCCCTCACAGAAATGATTGAGTAAAAATGGCCCATTATTCTGCAGCCGAGCCGGTAGGCGTTATTGGTGGTGTGACTTTTTCACAAAGCTGGATGCAGTTTAGGTAAATTTGCAGAGGGAGCAGGTTAAATAAATCGTAATTAGCCTTTTCAGATCACCATCAGTCAACAAGAGCTCATGTGGAAAGGAAGACAGTTTATGTAAAGTTACAATGTTGTTCTGATGTATCTTATCCTCTCAACAAGTTATCAGCTACGAGCTACAGGAAGGAATTATGGTTAAAAGGCCCAATTTCTGGAAATATTATAAATGATATTGTATATTACAACTGTCAGTAGAATGCCACAGTTGATCTTATAAGAGGTCATTATTCATGCAAAACCAATGACGACAGTGTCTGGTAAGTCTGTCAGCATCTATCAGCAACAGCACTTAGAGACACTGACTCTCCAGAGTCTTAGTTTTATGCGTGTTTGCTTGATATACTGTTGGCTGTATGTTCTTTGATGCAAAAAAAAATTCCATTCACTGATTCAAAAAGTTTAGTGGAGGCTTATCCTCACCGTTTCATCTCTGCTGGGCCTGGCACCAGCACTGGGGCTGCTGGTGACCTGGGGCTGCAGGGAAAGCAGCGTGTCAAAAAGCGTCCTGGTCTCAGCTATCTGGCTCGCAATATCAGCATTGGGGTGCTGGCCAAAGACCGCAGGATGCTCTGTGGATGGAAGCATGTTGATATGCTCCTTATAAGTGGGCTGGGGACCATCATGGGGAATAAAATAGGAGGGTAGGCTTGACAACCTGAAAAAGACAAAGGCAAAAAAATAAACATCATAAGTAAAAACAGTTACACTCTCATCAAGAACTAATGTTTAAGGGCTAATGTGTTGAATTTGGCCTATGGAGGATAAAAAATTAAAACGTCAAATTCCAATCAAAACACTTCTTTAATCAAAAATAGTAAGTATAAAATAATCCTCTTTCCAGTGACAGAATTCCCCATAAGATATTACTTCCATCTCACCAAATATAAGAGAAACAACAAAAACCTTTTGAATAAAAAGGACAGTAATAAACTCAAGTGTTTGTGTGCTGACAATAACAGTTTGTTGAGCCCAACTGCATGAAGTGGTAACGCTGGCTTTGTGCTGCAGGACACTCACTGCTCATCAACGGCCGAAAACATAAGTCATTCTGCGTGACTGAATGGAGTGCTACATACGGTATCTATTAAATGTCAGAAACATCTCTTTGTATATCTGAGAGTGGCTGGTTCAAAATGCAGGCAACAAAAGATGTGTGAAAGCAATTAAAACAAAGGGCACTCTGATATATGATTAAAGTTCAGGGTCAACAACTTTGTGTCTCTTTTGGTAATATTTAAACTGTCCTCTTGGGGGTGCTAGCACTCTGTGAACAGCAATGAGCTTTACCCAAGCATCCACCAGAAGAAAATATGTTTCTCCTTAAGCGGATTGCATGAATTTAAGCATAATTCATCTAAATGCCTCAACATACATATGTTTATACAACCAGCAATAATCTCATTGGCCAAAATGCTTGGTATCTCGTTTATCTGAGAATTTATTTGCTTTATGGAACCGTACTTGAATAAGGGTTGATTTACGGCAGCTTCAGAGAAGTAGTCATTGATGTATGTCGTTAGAAGACGCCTGTCCCAGTCATCGGTGATATGACCACCATAGATGACACCAGCAATGAGGTACTTGAGGGCGTCCCAGGGAATCTCCTCATATTTATCCAGGTACAAACAGAGAAGACTCTCACTAACCTAAAAAGGATATTAAATTAAAATCTTAACTGAAACAGTTTGAAAAAAGCAACACATATTCCAAAAAGTCAATAGTTTTCATCCTGTACAATACTTAAGGGTTTAAGAAACAACTACACAATGCTATTCAGCTGTCAGTACCACCAGTATGGTGACTTGTTTGAACAATAGCAGAGCTTCTGTTGCTCTATATCACTTTTTCTTTCAGTGTCAGATGAAACCCAAACCTCAAAGTCAGAATCGTTGAAACCATAGACAATGTTCCAACCCATCTGCCGGAACTTTTTCCTTTCCAGCAGGATGCTGTGAAAAAAGCAAAGGGAGAAGAGGAGCTTCCTGTAGAGTGAAGGTCTCGAACAGCGGCTGAACTGAGCTTCTGTCACCAGCTGGTAGAGACGCTTCATGTTGGCTTTCAAACCCTGAAGACAACAAAGTGAGCAGTGTTATCACTAAAGACAACTCTGATGTAGAGTGAAATATGGGGTAGCTAATAAAACTACAAATCAAATATAGAAATTAAGATATTTTGGACATGCATCATATTGAATTATCCCATTAGACATCCACGGCTATAAGTGTAAGAGCTCTTGTACCTTTGGCGGTTCAGTGGTCATCTTGATTCCAGCCTGCAGGATTGTGATGGGAAACTCGGGATGCGGTGAGGAACTTAGCCAGAGTCTAAAGTTTGGATGAGGACTTTGTAATGCAAACTCTTTAATGAGCTTGTCCAATTCAGGCATCCATGAGAGGGAGAGATGGCAGTTGGCAAGGAACAACCAATGACCTAGACAGAAAAAAAAAGCTATTTGATAAAATGGTGGATGTTTGTATGTTAAATGTCATGTGCAGAGTGTTATAATACTCTTGTAGTGAATATTAAAGATAGGAATCGTAAAGACATTGAACAACTGGCTTATAAAATCTCAGACAGGAGTTGGTCCTGTACCGCTCTTGACGCCCTCCTCTATCATACTCCTGGCAATGGGTGCCTGTCCTTGGCCCAGAGAGAGAGCATGGAAGTGTTTGCTCATTCCAGAGGCCTCAGCCAGCTGTAACAGGGCACCAGTGGGATCCACTCCGGGTGACAGAACAAAGATTAGAGGAGTGGCGCTCGTTGATTCTTCCACGACCTGAAAATAAGAAAAGAGTAAGGGTAGAAAAGGAAACAGATTTCACAAATTATCATACGAATCATACGGTCAGTGAGCGCGTGAGAGCAGCAGACACTCACTGACTTCATGTCGAGAACTGGTGGCTCTACGAAACGAGAGCCGAGGTGGTTAATGATGAATGAGGTAATGCAAAAAGAGACGCGGTCCTGACGAATAGAACGCACTATTAGCATCTTCTGGAGATCACTACAGTTATTCTCCAAATCACCTAGAAGAAAAATGGAAGGAAAGAAAGAACCATGGAATTCAGGTGTGATGGGGGACAGATTGAATGTAAAGATGGAGATACAAGATAGCAATGATTAAGAAAGTAAAAAAATTAAAAAATGCAGTCAACCACATCCAGTAAAATCACTTTAAAAAGGTGGTGAAGAAATTGTATAGTTTAGAACTAATTGCCCATTAGTAACGCTTAGAGTCAAACCAATAATCTGTATTTTTTTCATACTAACATGTTCTGGAGTCACAAAAAGCTGCTAGAAAATGCTGCACATAAGCATAAGCAGACCTGGAAGTGTGGCGTTCTCTGGCTCGGAGCTTGTGAACCAAAGATTCCAGTCTCGAGGGTACTGTTCAAAAGAGGCCACAATACCATGGAAGTTGGGCAGTTTATCCAGCTCTGTGATGTTATCCCAGCTGGAGTCCGCCAACCAGCTGGTGCATGGATTATCCATCTGATCCTCCTTATCAAGTACCTAAAAATCCATCAGTAAGTCACTATTAAAACTATCCTTCCATTAATGTATCAATAGAATTCTAAACTGCCCACATCAGTCACACAGGGTTGGGCTTTTCCCAGCAATATTAGGACATCCTGATTAATGACTGATGATGTCCCAAATCTTTGAAAATAATAGGGTAGTGTTGCTGGACAATCCTAAATCAAATGAAGCGCACGCAGAATGTTTGTGCTCAATCTATGCTGCTTACAAGTCCACCTCGAAGGAAGAAGCTGTACTCTTCCATATTGAGTTTGCCAGCCACTTCCAGGATCTTGGCACACATCTGGAAGCTGAAGAGCAGCTTGTGAACCTCAAACAGACCTCGACATGTGTACCTGCAGCGGACAGAACATCACCATCAGAAACACACTGAGTTAGCGAAGGAAAGTTGAACAAAGTTTTAGTTTCTACTTGTTCTTAGTTGGCATGCCAAGTTTGTTACTGAATTAGCCAAGTTAACTGACGCAAACGTTTTCTTTGTGCTTTTTTACTTCAAAATGCTTCTTTTTGTTTGATCAAAAATGGCCAATGGTTAAATCAAACCGGTGCTCCATTAATGTCCTGAAAACGGACATTAACAAGTCCCCCCTCACTGCACTTCAGCGTACCTGTACACGGCGTAAGTGTGGTAGTTGTTGAGGTTGGCGATCCGCTCCTCCAGCTTGTAGCTGCGTTTGCTCTTTTCTATGCTGAGAATGAACAGGTTGATGTATGCATCCAGTGAGAACTGGTACATTGGGTCGATGCGGCCCATATCATTTAGAATGAAGAAGAGAATAGAGGCTCGCTGGGCACATGGATGATAAGCCTGCCAACAGAAAATGCTTTGATTATTTACTATGTCTATGTTTCTTCCCAAATATCTTTTTTTTTTTTTTTTATAAAGAGCTCTATGAAAACATATACCTGACAACTAAAACATGACAATTCAATCATTTTAATAGATACATTTACATCTGGCAGATTCTCCTTTAAACTGGTCAAGTCAAAAATACAAAAGAAAAACCCCAAAAAACAAGCAAAGACACAACATGAACAGATTTTGGCACGGACAGGTGTTCCAGTTTCAGACAGTAAATGATAGAAATAAAAAAAATATTCCCGCTACATAACCACTTCATCTTCCATCTAACCTCTCTTGCAGAATCGATCTTCAGCTCAGTCTGTTCACTGCTCTCCAGCTGGTCTGAAACTTCGGTGGATGTCACTTTAGATGCCTGCAGGGTGTTTACCAGCTGCACATCATCAAGCAGTGAGCCAGTCGCCTCATTCAGCAGCCTATTAGAGCAAATTAAAATAAAAAAAGTTAGTTAATTCCAACAAAACCTGAGATAAAAATGGTCACAGTAACTGTGGAAAAGGTCATAGTAACTTGTTTCAATGACATGTTTACATAATAGAATGAAGAGAGGCTATGGTGTCCATTCCTAATGATCCTTTACTATTGCCACTCTGTGTGTGACCATTAATGTAACCAGGTCATTATAGAAAGGCGAAGCCAGTGTTTAGAGTGTGTCCTGTGGTTCTTCTGGGCAACAAATACACAATTAGCATAATATTATGATATAAAATGCTTGTGGTCGGTAAGGTTGGAAAAGCTATTAAACGGCAGCCTCCTATCTGAAACCGCTGATAATGGACACTCAGTGTAAAACCATTTTCTACGTTATTTGGTTCTTAAATAAATTTGGACTTCAATAAGCAGCTCTTTTGTGACAGCTTCTATAAATGCTTTCTCCAATTAAAAAACAAAAACAAAAAAAGAGAAATGTCACAGTGTCTCAAATGATTCGCGGGACAACCTGAGGATCTCATCCTCCAGGTCCTGCAGGCTTTTCTTGCCAGCAGCAATGCTCGTCACCAATGAGTCCTTCTGTTGTTCTAGCTCTGGACGCTCCTTACGCACCACAATTCCCAGCAGCTGAGCCTCCAGACCCTGTGAACAAATCCCAGGGAACAGTCATGTTCTTTTTGCTTTATTCTGCATTGCATGGGCAAAGAAAGGACTCACAAGAAGAAAATAGATTTTCTTCACCTAAATATGTGCACATACCTGCTCCTTGACAGCAAAGTTGATTATGGTGGTTTTCGAGGAAATTTCTGGTGTGTAGTGGGGGTTTGACAGTTTGGTGGTGATGTAGAACCTGAATTCTGGATTGTATTCAACCTCCTTTTCACCCAGTTTTAACAGCAACTGGCCACCTGGTAAAGTAAACACAAAAACAGATCCATACACATTAGCACATCCACATATATACATTTACTCAAAAGAACTTTACCTCCTAATGTGTGTTTGTGCACGTGTCTCATACCTATCCGTGTCAGGGACTTATTGAGAATTGGGTTTAGAGAAGGGTCTAACTCCTCCTGGACATTTTGCAGCAAAACAGGGTTCCCGAACGGGATGGCATTTTCCAGCACCCGCAGGTAATCTGGCATTTGAAGGTCTATTACCCTCAGACCCTAAACATGCAGTGGGGGAAGACACAAAACAAAGATACAATCACACCCAAACAGCCCATCATATAACATAATCAAATGTCTCATCCTCATAAAAATCTAGATTTTTAATCCAATCCAATTGAATAAATAATTTAATTATTCATAATTCAATAGCATGGGGATGAAGTCTTTCCGAGTTCAACATTCATCTTCTGAGAATTAGTAGTTATTTGTTGGGGCCTAAAGTCTGGACTGATGAACTCCAAGTTTAACAAGAGGTGTGTTGGAATGGCTAAAGTTAAAGGTTTGACTGAAATATGCAAAAGTGTCATTGGTAAAACCTTGGCAAATAGTAAATAGATAGGAAGGTGTAGTGTTCTAGAGAGAATCCAGTAATTCCCACATTTGCAAGCATTTGGCGAGTTGGCAGCTGAGGAGAAAGCGTTAGGAGCTGCCCCCGAAAGTAGACTCAGGATGATCATGAATGATGAAACAAAGCTAGAGATGATACCAGAGTAGTCCAACATTTACCTTCTCTGATTCCATATTTCTAATCCACTTCAGAGCTTGGCCTTGGGGATCAACTATTAGTGGCCATCTTGAAAAGGGAAGAAATTAAGTTGCATCAGCTCGTATTTAGAGAAGGCAAGATGTTTTCAAAATTAAAACCAGGTCTAAACACAGAAACACAAAAAAATGGCAAAAGCATATTTAAGTTCATATGTGGTCCAGAATGCTTTCTGTGTGCTGACCGGTTTCCGCGGGTGATGATGACTCCATTCTCAGTAGAGAAGGCATCAGAGGGCAGACCCTGAATATTCCAGTCTCTCACTACTGTCGGTTTGGAGAGAAAAACAGCAAAACTGAACCCTGGTGAACACGGAATTTGTGAATCCAAAACCTGAAAAAGGAGAAGAGATGGTTTTTCTCTTTAACATTTCAGAAGGACAATATATATTTGCATGTGGCTTTCTAAAAGATGGACACAGAGCAGAGGGGAAACTTTTCTGCCTTTCAGTTTAAGAGAGATCAGGATATATATGTTTCTTGTGTGCGTTGATCTGTGTGTATGTGTGTGTGCTGGACCTCTTTCATCCAGATTGCCAACAGCTCCTCTCTATAATTCGACAGGAAGGGTCCCATGTAGGACAGGAAAGAAGCTGCTAGCAAACAGTCTCCCACAAGGTATCCCATGTTTTCTTCAAGACCCTGAAGCATAGAAACCCACATTAAATGAACATGGATGTGTGGCAGGAAGGCCTGCAACCAACTGAAGTGACAAATGAACTTAATTTACTTTTCAGTAATAAATTCAATTATGTTTTAGTATTCTTCAAAATCAGTCAAGTGTTTTTCCATTAACTTTAACTCATTTTTACTTGAGAGATGAGCATCTGACCCATGAGAACAAAATCCTGTAAACTTCCATTTTTCTTCCACAATCCAGCAATATTTCCCACCCCAAAGAAGACACAGAACAAGGTGCAGTTCAATCAAACACATTTCATTCTCTGGTTATACTTCAGACAAAGGTGCCCCTACGGGCTTGCATGAATAGTCGATCAGAGGTTAGGATACAAACGGGATCTCACATCAACCCATCAATAGTATATACAGTCAGGGCCAGAAATATTTGGACAGCAACACAGTTATCCTCCTTTTCCACCCTATACCCCACCACAATGGATTTGAAATAAAACAAACAAACTGTGCATTAACTGTAGACTCTCAGCATTAATGTGAAGGTGTTAGCATCCAAATCGCATTAACAGGATTGAAATAGCAACAGTTTTTGTATGTGTTGCCCACTTTTCAAGGGATCAAAAGTAATTGGACAATGGGCAAGAAGGGCTGCAATTGACTCAGAAGGTGTCTCCCTCGTTAACCGGTAAACAATTAAGTAGTTAAAAGGTCTGGGGTTGATTCCAGGTGTGTGGTTTTGCATTTGGAAGCTTTCTGTGACCAGAAAATATGCGGTCAAAGAAGCTCTCTATTGAGGTGAAGCGGAACATCCTGAGGCTGAAAAAAAGGAAAAAATCCATCAGAGAGATAGCAGACATGCTTGGAGTACCAAAATCAACATTCTGGTACATTCTGAGAAAAAAAAAATTCACTGGTGAGCTTGGGAATTCAAAAAGGCCTGGGCGTCCACGGAAGACAACGGTGGTGGATGATCGCTGCATACTTTTTTTGGTGAAGAAGAACCCGTTCACAACATCTACTGAAGTCCAGAACACTCTCAGGGAAGTAGGTGTATCTGTCTCCAAGTCAACAGTAAAGAGAAGACTCCATGAAAGTAAATACAAAGGGTTCACGTCCAGATGCAAACCATTAATCAAATCTAAAAATAGACAGGTCAGAGTTGAATTTGCCAAAAAACACCTCAAAAAGCCAGCCCAGTTCTGGAAAAGCATTCTATGGACAGATGAGACCAAGATCAACCTGTACAAGAGTGATGGGAAGAAAAAAGTTTGGAGAAGAAAGGGAACGGCACATGATCCAAGGAACACCACATCCTCTGTAAAACATGGTGGAGGCAATGTAATGGCATGGGCATGCATGGCTTTCAATGGCACTGGGTCACTTGTGTTTATTGATGACATAACAGCTGACAAGAGTAGCCGGATGAATTCTGAAGTGTGCCGGGATATCCTTTCAGCCCAGATTCAGCCAAATGCTGCAAAGTTGATTGGACGGCGCTTCACAGTACAGATGGACAATGACCCCAAGCATACAGCGAAAGCTACCCAGGAGTTCATGAAGGCAAAAAAGTGGAATATTTTGCAATGGCGAAGTCAATCGCCAGATCCTAACCCAATTGAGCTTGCATTTCACTTGCTCAAAACCAGTTTTCAGACAGAAAGACCCACAAACAAGCAAGAACTGAAAGCTGTGGCCGTAAAGGCCTGGCAAAGCATTAAGAAAGAGGAAACCCAGCGTTTTGTGATGTCCATGCAGTCCAGACTTCAGGCAGTGATTGCCTCCAAAGGATTTGCCACAAAATATTGAAAAGAAACTTTTTTGTTTGGGTTATGCTTATTTGTCCAATTACTTTTGAGCTCCTAAAATGTGGAGTGCTTGTAAAGAAATATGTACAATTCCTACATTTTCTATCAGATATTTTTGTTCAACCCTTTAAATTAAACGTTACAACCTGCACGTGAATTCTGTTGTAGAGGTTTCATTTCAAATCCAGTGTGGTGGCATGTAGAGCCCAACTCGTGAAAAATGTGTTACTGTCCAAATATTTCTGGCCCTGACTGTATAAGTATACATTCACACTGGACTTACAAGAAACATTAAAAAAATGTAAAAGAACACCTGCCAGCTACATGGAGTAGCAGCAGTCTAACTGAATTGTAATGTTGGGATATTTTTAAATGTAAAAATGGAGAAGTGGATCACTGGATTACCTGATGGTATTTTAGGCGATAGGTCACCATTTGATATTTTTTGCATCTGCTGATGGCTCACCTTTAGGCCATCGGCCTTTCAAGATGCTATAAAAATGTACTGTATTTTTCTAAAGTATTTCCCTGAATTCAGTTATCCAGTGTATCTTTTCATCCCTCTGTGTGTCATAATGAGGGCCAAAAAGCTAAAGAACTCATTTGTGACTACAGACACCATCAGGACAAAGTAGCCGCCTTCTATGGTCCAAAGTGTATTTTGAGGGGGAAGGCTCACTAAAGAAATAGGACTGAAGGGGGGCATTCAGTTGTGAAAGTTAAAGTTAGGATGAAGGACAAAAAATGAATTGTGTTCATAGTGTACCCTCAGGATATAAAAATGTGCATGTGTGTGTATCGGGCTTACAGCGACTCGCTCCTCCCAGCGAACCCTCTCTCCAGCAAGTCCGGTCACTAGCTTGCCAGCTCGGTCCAGTTTGACCTCCATGTCATCCGATTTCTGTCTTAAAGTCTCCTTCATGGCCAGCTTTTCACTATGCTGTTTTTTCAACTGATCAAGCTTATCCGCCACCTGTTCACACAAAGTACTTGTCTCAGTTGAGTTCATGTGCTACCACCTATCAGGATGCTACTAAAAGCCCAAAGCCTTGTACCTCACGCAGTTTTGACTGGGCCTCAGCAAGCGCAGCCTGTTTCTCTGCGAGCTGGGACATAGCAGTATTAAGCAGGGCCCGCTTTGGCTCTACCTCTCGGAAGATTCGGCCGTACACCTGACAAGAAGTACACAATAGCGTACTAGTACACTTTACCAAATGATTATCAAATATCCATCTATACTGCAGCGGGTCCTAACAAGCAAATGTGTCATTGAGGCTTTCTGCTGACTTTTCACATTTGTGAGGAGGTCTGGATGTTTGCATCAGTGTGATGGTGAGTTTGCAGGCTGCAGCCCTTCTCTTACCTCCATGGCTCTGACCCACATACAGAGGGACTTGGCAGCTAGTGACACCTTGCCAATAATTTCTGGCTGGAAGTCAGGTTGTTTGCAGTATTGGCCGATCTTCTTCAGAACACGATCTGATATATTATCCTTGTCAAAATATACCAATGACTTGATGAAGCTGGACTCACCTGAAAGACATATTTGAAGATCATATTGAGGACTAAGTTTAACATATAAGTACACATTAGGCAGAAATAATAAGTCAGTTTTGGACAGGATCGAAATGCTACATTGTCTTTCCATTCGAATACAAATTGTTCTTTTGAATATAAATTTGAGTGATATTCGCAATGTTTTACTATATTTATCTTTTTAGAATTTAGGAACATATTCTATAAAAATGTGGGTGATTATGGTGTAAATGATCTACGTGTAAATATGTACATCAACAAAGTAAAAGAAGAAAAAAAAACTGTAATGCACTAATTAGATGAAATCTAACAGCGTTTTTCTTTGTAACTAGTGTCTTTTATATTGTAAGTGTACACAGTCTATATTACACAGTTATACATTCATTTTCAGAATATTTCCTCCTTAGTTAAAATTCTGGACAATCACTGCCTCTTACCCAGCTGTCTCTTGGCCTCCGCCCACGTAGGCTCTTTACCCAGAAGGGTCATGACAGCCTGCATCACCGTCTCCACCAGAGTTGGGGGACGGCCATACGACTTGATCTCTGTCATATCCTTCTTATTCAGTGACTCCAGAGCCTGACAGGAAGAAGTAAACAATGTGTGGATTTTAAGAATTAAAGACAAGTAACAAGCAGGACTGAAGGTTACTAGATTAGAGCTGGACAAAGATCTACCTTCAAGGCCTCCTCCAGGGCAGGCAGGGCTTTGTCAAGCTCCCTCTGTGCATTTTCAGCCATAGCTTTACACTCTAGCTCCTCTGCACCAATTTTCTCACCATGAGCAGTCACCATCTGAACACAGACACAGGAAAATATATTTGCCGGTATCCTCGTTCCTATTATACAACTACGACACAATTTTCCAAATACCAAATTCCTCTATCAAACATCACTTATATCTATAAAGCCATTTTTTGTGCTGGCACAAGGGCTCTCACCTTCTGCTGCTCCCCAGCCTCTCGCTTTTGTTGCAAAATTATAGATAAGTATTGGTCACATTGTATCTGGAACTCAGCAACTTGTTTCTTGGCCTCCTCCAGTTCCACAGACATGGCCTCCACTTTCTCCCGTGTGTCACCGATTTTAAAAAGGCCATTACGTAGTTTGCTCACTTGCTCCCAAAACTCACTCCGTTTCTCAACCAACAGCCTTGATAGATGTAAACAGAAGCATAACCCAGAGACTGCAGACAGATATAATGCAGTCTGTATGTATTGGGGGGACACACACTCAGAATCAGATTAGAGTTTTTAGTGTAGCCAGTGAACACAAGTAAAACTTGCCAAGATGGCGTGTGGAAAATGAAGAACGGTGAAGCAACAATAAGGTAAGGGAGGTTTAATAAAGGTGCTTACTTCTTGTATCCAGATACCAGCTCCAGGTAGTTGGTGGGTGTAACATAGTTACATCTCTTCAGCTCCAACTTCATCCTCTGGGATACCTGTGCCACTGACTGGTGTGTGGTCACAAATATACTAGCAACCTTTGTCTGGACCTACAATGACATGCAGGGCATGTAAAATGGTTGATCTGGCGCATTAGGTTGACCTTCACCTGTATACAAATGAATGTGTGTGCCTTACCCCGTCCAACGCGCCCAAATCCAATCCATCGAGGTACCTCTCAGCTACCTCCAGTAGGGCATCTTTAGGCCACTCACAGAACCAGTCAATGGTGGTACAGTTGACGATTGCTGGGTACTGAAGGATGCGATTCCTGTGGGATCAAAGTCAAAAACGGTTTGTCTTCAGATATAATTTTGTGCTACCCAAAGAACTGAAAGCACAGTTCACTGACAGATAGGAGAAAACAGCCCCGAACAATAATTAACACATTATAATGCATCAAAGTCTTTTATGATAACAAACAAAACTGCAGAATCCCTCCAATAACTGACCTTTGTTCACTCATGATGTCTATATTACATCAGAAAAATAAACTGTTAGCCAGAGGAAAACTGGACTTTAAAAATCAGCCCATTGAGACTCCAAGTCAATTGACAATATCTGTATGTATGATGATCTCCTACTGAGAGAGTCAGAAACCGAAGAATGTCTTCAACATTTTTCACTTAGTCCACTGCAGTGTCGAGCATACCGCGGCCATATTGATTGTCCTCAAGTAAATACATAATCATTCAAGGATGGTGATCTGATCAAGAAGCCAAATCAAGTAGCTCACTTCAGCTGTGACTGTATCTTTTCTGACTGTTCCTTCTGTTCTATTCTGAAACACAGACTAGGCAAATTTAATAGATGTCTGCGGAATCCTCCTTATCGATATTTAAACATTGAGTGGTTTGTCTAAGATAAAAAAGTAACTGTGTATTTCAATTGACAATTGGACTGCAAAGTTGATGTGTCAAGTTCCAGGAATGGACAGCCCCAACAAACTTATTTCTTCTCATTTTGTCGATTCTAGTGAATTGAATATATCTTTTAAATTTGAAAACTCATATTCAAATGTATGCTGCATAATATAAAAATAAAAAAACTAAATGAGAAATCTAGGGTGGTTCTGTAAAATGACTCCTGAGCTGTGTGTGTATCATAGTGCATAGTGTCATCCATAAAACATGCCTGAAGGGTTCTCCCACAGGGCTCATACAAAGTACTATGTGCAAGTTGTTTCGGACTCGCTCGATCAGGTAGTTGAATAGGGACTCTGGAGTCTCCATCACGTTGTCTTTCCTGGCAGACTCCGACAGGGCATTGCACACCTACGCATGGACAGATATTAGTGACAGCATATGGATTAAGTCAGATTTTAACTGATCGAATACGATGTCATAGACAAGACACCATCAAGATTTGAAGACATTACCCACCTCAACAAACTCATCCTGCTTATAAAGGTTAGGGACTTCTCCAGAGCTCAGGATGTTATTGACGTCCTCTAAGAAGGATTCATCTAAAATCTGGGTGTCATTGAATAGGAAAACTGTTGGCTTGTTGTCCACACCAGCCAAGCGGTAAAGCTTCTTGATGTCTGAAAGGGGAGACAGAGAATTGCTTAATTTTACTAGATGAAGGTGGATTTCCAGACACAAAGCTATTGCCAAAGTAGATAATTTCCTTAAAAACGTGTTAAGAAAATCTGGGTGGTTCTCACCTTCTCTGAACTCCTGCTTGCGGTACTGCTTGGTAACTTCCACCTGGAATACGTGGTACTCACAAATGAAGGCTGCAATTTTAGACAGGCTCTGTCTACCAGAGCCCCCGATACCAATCAGAAGCATGTTACCTCTGAGCTGACTGATCACACGTACAACACGGGTTACTGTTTAACAAAGAAAAACAGAGGAAAATATTAGGGATAAGGAAATATTACATTCTTTTTTTCATTTCCCAAACCTGCTACATCCTATTCAGAGCTACGCAGGGAGAAGAGCCTGCCACAGCTGCCACTGGCAGAGAGGGAGAACCATGATTCACAGGTGACCAGTCTATCAAAAAGATATCTGAATAGTATTATTATTGTTATTATAATAACATTTTCTCTTTTAGTTGATACGCTAAAATGAATGGTTTTCCTATCACTAAATGAATAATGACTAAAAAATTTTTACAGGAATAAAACGTATTTATAAGGCAAAAATGCATGATGATATTAGCATCCCACATACATTTTTCAGGCTAAACAAACATACATTTGTTTAAGTACAAACTTGAAAAAAAAAAGAAACAGCCCACAGATTTGAACATAGAAACTATAATAGAAATAATAACGGGATGGGGTTTTTTATTTTTGGCCCTTTTTCTCCTGTTAATTGTCTATCTACTGATTACCTAATTATGGATGGAATAAATAACTGCAGCTGTGTATCAAGGTCCTGCATAATGACTGTGAATGACCTTGCAAATGAGGTTTTAATAGGAGGCTGAAAATACTTTCGAAAACAGCCAACAAACTTTGCTTTTATTTAATAGGGATTAAGAACAAGTCACCGGTCCTCTGCCAATTACTCCCTGTGTTCCCTTTTTTTAATGCTATTATTTTTCCCCCTCTACACTCGCTTTTATAATTTTTCTTTTTCTTTTTTTAGAGTTTTCGTTGTGTCAAAGAACAGTCATAAGAGAAACATCTCTGCTGAAAATAGGGCATGTGTAAATTTCCTCCCATAACAGTTTCAGTCGTAAAACTAAAAGCTGTTTTATGCATCTGGCTCCCTTGACATAACTGCGGGTCTTTAGCTCTCTCTGCAGACTGGATTCTGGATGGGATTCAGGCAATGCATTTTTCTTATAAAACTGTCAACTGATTCCTGACCACTTTTTCTGTATGCCTAAGGACATTTTTCATTTGAAAGGTCCAATGTAGCCCACTGTCAATTTTTTCTCCCACCTGACAGATGTTTATATCTCAAACCTGAATATCATCCGTTTTTATCATGATCCGATTTATCTAGGTGAGACTGCCAGGCAAGCTTTAACAAAAGCACAATAAAAAAGAACACAACTCCAAAAGGACTATTCTTTTATCATCTAATTTAATTTCATGAATGATGATGCCAAGTCCCCGTGTCTAAGCAGCCCGACTGAATTTATGCCCAGCCTCTTTTGTCTTTGTCACTAGGAAAGCTTTTGAGAATTTTTTCCAAATACGGGAGGCTTTCTTTCTTGGCATTCATGGCAACAGAGTTGGGTGGCATTAGAACTAAATAATAATGATAATAACAATAGCAACAGAATAATCTGACATTTTAGTCAAAGTGGTCAAGAAACAGTCATTTGAAAATAACATTAAGGCCAGAGGCATGGCAAGGATATTATCTAACCTCAAAGACCTGGAAATAATTGAAGTAGGAGAAAGGGCCAAAATCAGTGGGAGAGAGAAAGAGAGGGATGAGAAGACAGAAAAAAGCCTGTTAGCTCTCACAAGAACAATATTAGTTCTGTAAAAGCAAAGGCTTGAAAAATGTTGTGGCATTTTCCCAGGAAAAATATGAGCCAAACAATAGCAGACTATAAATCAAACTTTGAATTTACATTAGGGTTTAAATGTGTGAGCATTCAGACTGTGTGTGGATGTGAGTAGTGCTCAGAGAAGTACTGTGTTCGATGGCGTCACGGAAAAGCACAAGGCTCATTGGAACAACTCCAGGCGTCAGGTTGTAATCCTCTAGCTGAGTTTCCATGAACTTCTTCAAGACTTTCATATCCTGGAGGTCCTCATAGACAGAGGAATCATTCAGGAAATCACCTGCCCCACACATAAAACAGACAAATATATATAAACTAAAATATTTGCATATATTTTACAGTGATAATCTATTTGTGATTGCATTTTCTATGGGGTTTATTAGTGATTACAGTAACACAAATACCAAATATTGGGGGCTGCTTGTTTGGACAGATATTATAGAAGGTGAGGTTAAACAGTGAGGCCAGTTTTTCCTCCATCAAAGCGACAAAGGCACTCATGTCACTGGGATTTATAAGCCGATCTGAAAAAACCCTGAAACCAACAAAATAAGATATTACCAGGATATAAAATACAGATGGACAACAGCATCTGTACATTTTGCTGTATCTGGTTACCTAAAGCACTCATGGATCCATAGTCTTGTGATGTCGGTTTCAGATTCATGGAAGTCTGGATGAGCTCTAAGAAGACCTTGAAAAACCTAAAAGAAGTCAGACATAAAATAGAAACATATAAAAAAAAAAGGTATAAAGGCATTATCTCAAGTTGCTTACTTATTCCTTCTGTACCTTGGAGATGTCTCTGAGGTTGAAGAGGTAGTGTATTTTGGCTGGAGTGGGAAGGAAAGAAGCAGTGACAGCATAATACAGCTCTAAAGTGCCCTGAGTCAAAGTCTTTGCAATAGGCTTCACTTCCTCTTTAAATCCCTGCAGTTTTTGGTTGATCATTGTACTGTAGATGCTCTTGATCTGAGACTCCTGCATACAGAGAAAATTAGGTGAATCAACTTTGGAACATCTCCTGAGCCCTTTGAAAACCCATGTTAATCAAATACAATGACTTCTGAAGTGCTCTAGGGAAAATAAAAACATTTCATGTTGTCCACTTCAATCTTTCAAGGGAAAAAACACAATGTCAAGTGTTTACATCTTGAATGCTTTCTGGCTGCAGCCATTTTCCAAATTAAATTGATATTCATCAGTAATAACAGAGATGGCAGATCGGATGAGAGAGGGTCAGTTCTATAGGGTCAGAGAGGAAACTGAAAACTAAAGAAAACAGAGAGTGATCAGGCAAGAAAAGCAATGACTGTTAAAAACAGGGGAAGAACAAATGTGCCATGTATAACAAAACCAATCGTGTTTGTATTAGGAACCTGAGGAGAGGGCAATATTGCAGCTGTATAAATATAATCAGAAATGAGAAACGGATTGACAAATGGTAGAGAGAAGATGACAAAACACTTAATAATTTGGCCATTTTTTTTATATATATACTTAAATCAGTTCGGTAACAGTAAAAGGTATGAAACAGAAAATTAATCACCAAAGACGAAAGTCTAGCAGCACTATTTGTAAATCACCTTTTTATTTGTGGAGAGGGGAGTAAAAACAGAGCATGACTTACATTTGGAAAGGTCATATTGATGAGGTTGAATCGACTCTGTAAGCGGGCAGATATCTGAGTCCTCCCTCCACCAGGAGGTCCCATGGATGCCAACAGAAACATGTCCTGATACACCACAGACAATAGAACTTTGTGATCTGACAGCACCACGTAGAACTTTATCATTGACACAAGTTACAGGTGATTTTATGCATGAAACTAAAACAAGTTACAGCTAAATCTCAGAAAATCAGAAAACCACTCCTGTTTGAATCAAAATGTTGTGTTCACCTTGACAAACTTCAGCACGTGTTTCTGGCGGTCATACCAGAAGCCATAGTCAATCCAGAAGCGCAGCAGCTCCAGGGGAGGTTGGGAGCCAAACAGGTCATGGGCTGGCATGTTGAAGTCATCTAGAAAACACAGCAGCTTCTTCCCACCTGCTGGCACATACACGCCTTTGGTTCTCTTTTCTGTTCGACTCTCTACGATGGACTGGATGTTGTCAGAAGTCGTCTGGATAGCGGTAGAGACATTGAAAAGAAAAAGAAAAACTCATTGTAACTCTTAATCATATCTTTCTTCAGATGCAATTTTTAAGAACATTGGTAGAAAAATATGGGAGTAAGATCTATGATAGTATGGGTTTGTCTTTGTGACCACTTGAAGACATTGTGCTGACTGGAAAGATTTTCCCCAAGAACGATGGGGATGAAGAAAGAGCAAAGGGATGATGTCTGCACAGATGAGCAGAGGTGATGAATACCTCCAGCATCTCTGGCTCTCTTGCTCGGAGACCTATCAGACCTATATAGCAATAGTTTGGCTAGCAAAGGGGCCCCAAAGCAGTGCAAGAATATTAGTAAAATTGCAGTAAAGTGGAGATTAGGCCTATTGGCTACTGTGTGGTTGAAAAGAGACAGGTGCACTCATGTTTGCACAAACGGGCTTGATCAAATGAAGGCATGCTCTTCATCAAGATGGATCAGCATCAAAATATTTAGGCAAAATGTTTGTTTAAGCAACTTGTGCATTCGTTGGGTAAAAAAAACAACAACCAACCTGTGAGGACAGGTTGATAGTGAGGGCTGTCCACTTCTTATCCAAGCCCTGCAGGACATTCTGTGCCACAGAGGTTTTACCAGTTCCCACTGGCCCAGTGAGCAGCACTGGGTTCTGATTCAACATCAGAGCCTTAACCACTAAGTTATAGCGAACTGTGTCCACTGTAGGGACCATGATCTTATAGAAAGGAGAGCTGCAGGACAGAGATACAGATGTAGTGAAGACTGACATCACAAAACAGGAAATTGCTTCATAGATTTCATGCGTGGTAAAAAAATAAAAAAAGTCAAAAGTCAAGAGAAGCATAAAACAGAGCCCCCAAAGTGTACTCACGTAGCATTGTAGCACCAGTCTTTAGGCAGCTTATCTTCAAAAGATGCCCAGGTTTTATTCTTTGGGTCCACATAGTACTCATAAATTGTGTCCTGAAAAGATTAGTTAAAAACTAAGTATTATTGTAGTTCCCTACAGTGATGAATTAAATCAGTTTGCTGTGGTAAGATTTTTTTCCTGTAAAAGCAATATTAAAAAAATCCATGTATCTAACCAGATTTACTGGTCTGTAACCCTCTTACACATGGTAGTCGAAGGCTGAGTCAACAACTGCTCACAAACACACGTCGGTGTACAACTTGAACTTTTGACTGGACAGGATATAAGTCCAGTTAAACATTATTTGTAGGTACTGTGCAGTTTGTATAGAAATTTTCATATTTCCTGATGAATACCTATATATTTTGGACCATTTGAGTGCATGATCTTTCATTCATGAAGAGCGCAATTCAGTTCTAGGCCCATAAATTGTGTTTCATCGCAAAACAATTGTTTGACAGTATTTGTCCAAATGCAAATTCTGTGTGGACAAAATTTCGAATTGAGGCTCTGAATGAGTGCAGAACATTGAACATCTTATTGTGTAAGCTTGCAAAAATATTGTATCACACTATTAATATGCACAACAGACCTTAACAGGGAAGGTGCCCTCGATCTCTCGCATAAATGAATCCATTTTTTTGCGTCCTTCCTCGTCAACAGAAGCACAGATGGACCAGATAAGACTAAAGATGAACCAGAGCTCCACAATTCTGCCCAGGTTTTCTGTGTCTGATGTATTCACCTGAAACAGAAAATGAATCTTCCTTATTACAATGGAAAGGCTATCATTGTAGCAATATCATGTTTTAGAACTTACGCATAAGCACTTTTTTTTAAGCAAACTTTTAAATATCATCTTTACTATATGGTTGTCTGCTGACTTTTTCAACTTCACATACCCCACTTTTGGATGAAGTCAGGGAGTCATAGAGACGGCACAAAGAGGTGACGCCGTTGAGCTCAGTGATTGGAATCAACTCCTTACAGTTGGCCTTTTTAAATTTGATGGTGCTCCCTACATATTTCTCAAACAAAATCTTTAAATGCTCTACTTCAGCCTGTTTGGGAATAAACACACATTCAACAACAAATCAGAAAAAAATTGCTGAAATTTCCCATTTTTCCAGAATAATTTTTCTCTTAAAAGCGGACAGTGACATAATACAAGTAAATGCTTTGTACTTTGTGTCGCTTGTCCAGCCAGGACTGAACAAAAGGTTTCCACCCAAGATCAGTGTAATCGTTGTAGACCATTCCACAGCGAGACACTGTGGCCGGAGAGGCCTGTGCCAGGTTCTCCACTTCAAACAGAAGAGACACCTATGACAAAACAACACTTTTACACTCACTGTCACAGTGTGCGGAGAAAACCATTTTTTATTTAGCTCATTACTGTTGAAGGCACATTTTTATCTTTTCCATTGTCTTTTCTTGGGACAGACTCTAAAAATCCTGTATGTTTGTTTAGGAGAGATTCCAGTGGACATAAAGCAAGATAAATTGTAGTTTGACTATTACCTGGCACACTCAGAAAGAATTGACTTATACATCTCATCTCATCAAAGAGAATGTCTCCTTTAGCAAGTGCCCTTTTTAGTGTTTCCTGCTAAGTTCTTACCTGCTCAGGCATAGAGATTCTCTCTCCATTTATGAGCGTGAGCACTTTGTTGTCATCCATAACAGAGTTCATACTCTCAATCCACAGTGTGTCAACAGGCCCATCGAACACAATCCACTTCTCATCTGGTTTGTCATCTTAAAGGTGGAGGGATATGAAGAATGGTTTCAAATTCAACAGTGTGCATGCTGCGCGTTTCTTTAAAAATACGTTTTATAGAAAATACAATTGGTATCTACTTACTTACTCTATATACATCCAAATAAACAAAGCAAAACAATAAATCTATTCTGTGCAAGTACGTTTTCTGATATAATAAATTGTGACAGCATGTCAAAAAGGGTAATTCCCCATTGGCCAATTTAAAAGGCAACAAATAAACGTCAGAGGGTGAACTATCATTATGAAAAGGACCTTTGCAGCATATTAATGTAGATCCGGTTCAGATGGAGTCATGTGAAACGGGTGTATATGGACTGACGTCTAAATCCCCAAACAGTTTGTTTATCTACTTTACTTTACTTAAAGTTCTGGTACCTGCACAAGCTGATCTCATGATGGAGGATAAGGCTCCATCCTTCCACTCATTAGTGGAAAGGTCATTTTCTCCATACAACTCCCCCAGACTCATTGACTTCGGGTTTATAGGATGCACCTGTTGTGCGACAGGCACAAAGACACAAAAAACTACAGGAAGTGTAGGATAGCAATTCATTAATACTGCTGCTCAATCATAATTTCCAATCAAAAACATATTATTTCAATAGCACATACATTAACAATTAACTATAAAAACATTTCAGAAGATGAAAAGTACAAAAAATTGTATTTAAGTGGTATTATTGCCCAATACATCACACAGCCTTCTTTTCCTACCACACACACCTGAACCAGCTGAAAGCCAGGCTCTTTCTTGTGGTGCATGGCAGTGAGAGCATTCTGCAGAGTCCTCCAGGTAACGCTCTTGGCACTCCCTGTTTTTCCCACCAGCATGGACGAGTGTCGAGAGTTCTTGGTCTCATAAAGCTGGATGACTTTGGTCAATGTAAAGGGAGTCACCTGAAAACTGCTCTTCCGAAGCTCAACCTCTATGGCCTCTTTTAACTGTAATTGAATAACATCAAAATCCAGCAGTCAAGTATTTGGAGATGTCATCATTAGTGGAAATAAAGATGCCTTAACCATAATGGTCCAAGGTTAAGTTGGCCTGTCAAATTGGGAAGTTAAATTTGACTAAAATAATAGTCTTTTGCAGTTCATCTCTCCAAACATAACTGGAGTCTAATTTGTTCATCATGGATGATTCAGACTTAGTGTCACTGAATTCATGCAGCAGTTCGACAGTTTGAAATTTTATAAATACAATTTGATTAAGGAAATACAATAATAAGGGAAGTATAAAGAGGTTTGTACAAATAGTTTGAAAGGTTGAAGCCAGAAGGGCTGAAGCCAGAACTGTGACGGAAAGAAAAATAATTGACTGAAGGAGGATGCCAGAACAGATTAATGCAATCCTTCAGAGAAAGCAAAGAGGAAACAAGGAAAACAAAAAAGACCTAGGGTAGTCGACTTAACTGAAACTACTCAACTAGTTTATACTGTTACTATTCCTTTGTCTGGATTTTGTACTTTGGCTTACATTCTGAAATACCTTTCTGGTTACTTTGCATATAGATGTCCTGGATTCAAGTCAAACATCACATGACACAGTTCTTTGAAAAAGTGCTGCTCGGTTTAATCAACTTACCTTGCCATAGTCTATAATAGGTGTTTCCACTGCAGGGAACAAATCCTGGGTGATCCCATTGAACAGGGGAAGATCAGAAGAAGTCAACTTTGCTATGTTCATGTCCTTCATAGCCATTAGGAGGATCTGAGGACAAAGAAACAATGGCAGTAAACAAAGGAGTAATTCATGACTCAATATTGTTTAGTTGATCTTTTTCAGTTTATTTTAAATAGAATTACTAAAATGTTAAGTTGATTTTTTTTTAATGATTTGATACTCTGGATTGAGAAGAAGCAAAAAGACATGAAATCATAGCTTAAAGTCACCATAGAGATCAGAGACTCCAAAAGTTAAAGATCATTCACAGTTATTCAGTAAACAATTTCTCTTGAAAAAGAGATTCTGAATCTCAATGGGACTTCCTGGTTAAATAAAGGTTAAAAAAAAAAAAAAAAAAGACCTAAGAGGGATGCTTATTTCATTTACATGACTTTGACTATTAGGGTAGAATTGATTCCAATCAGAAAAACAGGAAGAATATAAAAATGCAATATGGTTTTGAACAAACGGTAGGGACAAGAATGAAACAGTACTATATATTAACAAGAGAGATACAGAGTAAGAGCCCTACCTCTTCATCAGGAAAGTTGGGAGAAGAGCGACGTTTCCTTCCAGCATAGCGAAGCAAAGAGGTGAGAGCCCGGAGGCCGAAATCATAGTGATCCTGTTTAGATAACTGTTGCACTGCCAGACAGTACAGTGTGAAAACCTTTTTAGCCAGAAGCTGTGAAAATAAGAGTGGAAACAACAAAGACACAGTAGAAACCAAAGAGGAGAGAGAAAAAGTGATAAAGATATGAAGTAATACAATTTACAGATAAACCATATGACATGACTAACAATTCCTTAATCAAACACAACCAGCTCCATAGTTGTTGGATTCTGTTTGCATTTACGTTGGTTTAAAACAACCCTAATTTCACAATCTTAACTCTGTCACAAGTACTTACAATGTCAGTTTTCTTAAACCTAAACAAAACTGAAGCTCCCTACAACATCAAAAGAGAATCTTTTGTTCATGCGGACAATAAGTTAAGAAACAAGTTTGGTTAAGTTACAGTCACCTGATCTCCGTCCCCTCCTCTTATCACTCTGTGTCATTACTGCCCACTAAATGCACACCTTATCTGCCCCAAAATCTAAAAAACACACATTCATAACTTTAAACAATCCATCCAATCCATCATTTTGTGCTGCTGGATTATTTCCAAATGTCACACCTACAACCAGCATCCTGCAGAATACTGTCTGTGAATGAGTGAGGCCTCACATTGGGGGAACCCATCACCTCAGACTTTATAACAGCACACTGTCAGTAAAAAAAAAAAAAAGTCTACCCAGTGCAGTACCTTGCAATTGTTGAAACCCTCTCCAAACAGTAGGATTTCAGCAATCAGTGTAGAATCTGGCACGACCATGGAGATGGGCCGGAACATGGACTTGAGGTTGTCAGGAAGTTCAGTTCGACCAGCGTACCCTTGAGTAAAATAGTAAAAAGTTTGATCAATGTATTTAAAAAATGTCACAAATGTTGCAGATTTGCAAACTAAACTAAAAATTTAATCTCATAAAATGCTAAATGATTGACATCTTCTCAGCTATGGTGTTGTACCAGGATTCATGGTGATAAAGATGCCACAGGTTGGAATTAGACGGATGTTGAGTCCTTCAAAATTGAACCGTGACTGTGTAGCTGAGAGGGCCGAAAGAATAGAAAGGATCTGCTGGGCAACCACTGAAAGCACTTCAATGTTGATACGGTTGAACTCATCGAAGCACCCCCACGCTCCTGTCTGTTCAAGATGTGCAAAAACCATAGATACATGACATTAAACTGCAGCTTTTTATTTTCTAAATTGACCTCACAATATATTATTCTAGCCACATCTTTCTCTCTCTCTCTCTCTTTTTCTTTTTTTTTAGGAAATGCAGACAACTTGTTTAATTTGTAAATGTGTAGGAGTAAACAGCACTCTAGCTGACAATAGTGCTCCTTTCCCACCTGTGCCAGGCCTGAGTACATGCGTCCCATAGATTTGTAGTCCAGTCCTTCAGAACAGTTGACAACAATGACGTACATTGCCAGAGATTTGCCCAAGTCCTTAACAGTCTCTGTTTTCCCGGTCCCAGCAGGGCCTTTAGGAGAGCCGCCCCGGTGGAGATGCAGAGCTGTGGTCAGTGTCATGTAACACCTGGGTTGAGACGAAAATAAATGTTAATATATGCACTCTAATTCACTTGATATCAAAACTGACTATGTCTCTGACCTGTCTGTGAGCGGAGTGATGACAAGGCGTCCTGAGTTACCCAGGTACTCATAGCCATACTTGAAATATGTGTTGGTCTGTCGGATAATGCAGTCATAATCTTCCTGTGGGGAGTTTAAGTGAACAAGTTAAATGCATATTTTCTTTGTCTGTATTTGATTTACCACGGCAGAGCAGAGGTAGAAAAATAACGTGGACATTCTGTGGAAGGTCAGAGCAGGTGGTGCACATGCTGATCAAATGTGGGCGAATCACACCTCAGTGTTACCCTAATTATCCACGATAAATACTTAACCCTTTAAAGCTAAATAACAGTTATTTCAGCAGTCTTCTGACAGTACTATTCATGTTAAAGCATGTAATATACAAGCCAGTGAGAGAATCAGAAAAAGGACAGAAGTTGCAATCTTACTGGGTTTCATGTGGTTATTTAAAAAATGCTAGAAAACCTGGTATTGGAAGCTTAAAATTTAGGACTAGCAAATGTGCAAATGTATGAAAGCATATTATAGCAAATATTATAGCACTTATTAATAAAAAAAAATAAAAAAGCAGACTGATGGATCATTTAAAACAATAGCGATGAAAAGGAGTCACGAGTCAAATGTTACACTGTAGTGTAAACTTCCATGCTCTATCACTGGTTACCTTGTCTTTCTCCCAGTACAGTCGCAGCTGGCAAAGCCATTCAAAGGCATTGACGTCATTACATCCAGCCTTGGCCAGCTTATCAATGACATCCCGAGCGTGAACTTCTACTGTGACAAGTGCCACAATTTTCAGACGTAGGACTTTGGGCAGATTGTCACGAATGATCTCTGAGTAGCACTTAAGCATTGAGATCTGTGAAAAAAAAGTTGCCGGACATTCACATGAGTTGTCAGAATTACGATAAATACCTTTGACTCTATTAGAAAAACCTTTTCATGAACAAAAACAGCTATGCAACCATTCATGAGAACATGTAGGTACAAAACCTGTTTCCTCTTCATAGATTTCAGGGATGATTTGTCACCTCTCTCCTTCCCGAGGATAAGACACTTTGTGATATCAGTAGTCCACTTGATCTGACTTGCTGTGATTATCATCTAAAAACAAAGAAAAGCAAAAGCAGAAAGAAATTAGCCATGAAGAATTAATTGAAACTGATATTTAACTAATATAATTTTGGATGAGTGATTATAAAAAGAATACTGGGCAGTTTAAGACAGGAAAGCTTGAGATAAATGCACCTGTCCTGGCCATTGTCTGACCCATTTGTCTCTTGGGCCTGTTATCTTCTTCAGAGCAGCGAAGCAGTCGTTTAGACACACCTTCAGCGTGCTACGCATTGCCCTCTCGATATCACACAACCAGATCTAAAGTCACATGAAACAAAATGATGGCTTCATTCCCCATCGTTTTCAGTGGTACTGCATTTATCATCACTACTGTTATCATGACATCAGTCAGACTTATCGCCACACTAAATTTCTGGAAAAGCTGTACAGTACCTCCACAGGTTTGTCCAATTGCACTGGATCTTTGAAAGTAATAAACTCTCCATCAGCAGAGAACATCCCGTCAGCTTTAGATTTAGGACCCTTTTATGAAATACAAACATAACAGTGGAAGCTCCATTCAGTCAAACATTGATCAACAGTAGTTAAAAGCTTTTCATGCATGCTGACTAATGGATTGCAATAAATGAAACACATCCTATGTGTATCGGCGGTCTTGTATTTTGTATCCATTTCTTCCCAAAAGATTAAAATAACTGTTACAGCCAAAAGATTGAGTGAAAGAAACAACATACATAGATTAAATTGGGTTTCTAAGTCTAACCAAACAGTTTAAATGTATTTTTTTTATCGTAGGAGCATTGGGATGTGATCATATCAGGGTTTTTCTAAGATACCTACCTTGTCTATATTCAGGCTCTTGATGTTGTCAAAACACTTTTTCAAGTGTGGCTGCATGGCTTTTGGGTTCTGTGACTGTCCCAGAATCTCCAGAACATCGTCATTGGAAAGGAAATAGAATCTCGGGAAGATCTGCCTCTTTGTCTCAAGATACATGTCCAGGGCCTTCAGGATTTCCTCTAGTTTCTCACTCATCTGTGACATTGTCTCAAGCAACCCTGAACACAGAGGATACATTAATCATGGACCTTTGAAAATAAACATTTATTTGAATTATTAAGAAGTCTTGTTGATTACTGCCATGCCTGTTTGACTACACATTTTTGTACATAACCTTTTTAACTAAAAGTTGCATCCCGCATAAAATATGTCAAATGAATATGATATCCATTTCCAGGTGTAAATGTCTAGATAAATTATTGAAATGTGAAACATATCATCTTACCTGGATGGTGAGTTGCCTGCAAGGCATTTTTATTCTTGTGCATACGATCCATTATGATTTTCCATTTTGCACTAATGCTTTCAAACTCGTTACACTCATCAGGCAACTGCTCTCTGATATCCTTTCCTTGAAAAATGTTCTGAAGCGATTGAAAAAGAAGGGGCAAAGAGTAAAACACAAAGTGTGTTTTATTATAGGCTGGAAACATAAGCCATAAAAGCAAGAAAGCAAATCTTTCGAGGAGAAAAAAAAAGATATTTTTAACTTTATTATTCACACATATGATATACGATTAACATACTTTACCCTTCTTTTTAATTGTAAATGTTCGGACACAGTATAGATAACATTATTTTATGAGTTTGTTACTATAAGGTTTGATTCCTGTACCTCCAAATAAATCCAGTTGCGCTGCACAGAAAGGATCATTTCTGTAACTTCCAGCACATGGGAGAGTTGTTGTTCCCATCGATCAACGTCCTGTTCAAAAGCTTTAACAAACCGCGACGCCTTCATTGTGGATAAGAAAACCTGGTTGTCATCCAATGCCTGGAAAATTTCCTCTGTGCCTCTGTGGGAGGGAGAGAGGGTGAGACAACATCTTGAAATATATTGGTGTTCAATAAATCTGAATTAGAGTTGCTTCCCTTCTGCAATGAATGCCATATTTATTTTACAGTGTAGCAACTAAGCATGACTCAACAATATCTTCATCAGGGACATTGTTTGGTTCCATTCTCCACAAAGCTTAATTTAACATCAGTGCTGTTTCAGAGGCAAATTGTCACTGATGACATGTTAATGAGCCACAGTCTATGTAACTTAAAAGTTACACCCAACCCAATAGTTAGCTGGTTGGATTTGAAAGTTTTATTACTGATTGTCTGAATCCCAATGTTTAAGACTCCCATTAGTATATAGTGACATCGTTATAGGGGTACAATTCTCAGCAAAGCACTGGCACTGTATAAGCACAATCTGAGCTCACCGTATCATAGAAATGATTTCCCTCTTTAATGTTGCTGTATCGTAATAAAACAAACCAAAGACCTTTATAAAGTGGTCATACAACCAACAAATGCCCACAAGCACCTGGCTTGTATTTAATAATCATTCAGATCCAAGTAAAATTAATCTGTGGTGCCTATGGGTATTATTTGCCTCTGCTCCATCCTGCGTTACTGAGGAAAAAAACATGCTAATTTAAAAAAGAAAAGAATTTGTGCATTATACAATACAAAATTGGATACATCTCAGTTTTAATCTGATAGTCATGCATTCATTAGGAGTGACTTCTCCTTTCTGAAAGACCTAAACCTGCCCCATTTCCACAGAATTGTATGTGTTGCTGATATCATGCCCTATCTTGGTACTCTGGTGAGGGGACACTCCAAAAATAGTTCCAGTATTGGGAATGTTGCTCACAGTCACTGTATGACAGTCATAAACCATGGACTTGAGGGATACAGGTAAAGACTCAATTATTGAAAGTTGAATTAAATGTTTGTCATGTTAAATCTTTATAACCACACGGCAGTGAATGCTGACAATCACACCTCAGTCGGAAGTGGCCATTATCTTTGTACGGTATTATGTCCAGGAATATTTCATCCCAGGCCTTTGTAATGTCATTCAAACCCTGTAATGTCAAACACAAGATGCAACGTTAAGAAACAGAACACAGTAATGGGACAAGACTAAAGGAGATAATAACATTCTTTCTTTCTTCACTTTAAATAACATCAGTCAAAACTTTCTTTTCCGTCTTGTGTAAATGATAGATGATAGAAAAGCATAACTTCTGCCAACAAACAAGCTCATTACTCGGCACTATAGGGGACTGAAAACACTCTGAAGAAGAGTGCCTAAAGAACAAGAGATGTCACTGATATTTAGTGGGAGGTGAATATTTGTGTACATATGAATAAAAACAGCGAGAACTGGTTGTGGATAAGTATCATTACACAGTTGCACAACTGAGAGTGTAAGGGTGGTAAATGCTTGCACTTGTCAAAATTGCAGAAACAACATGTCGAGGGGCACTCATGGGAAACTTTTGCAGACTACCCTGATAGGGTGGGACATGGTGGGGTGGTTTGTAACTATTGTCCAAATGGATATATACACACTTGTGGCTGGAAGGCCATTATGCCTGCAGTGAATCCTTTCATGAATCCGTTCATGAATAAATTGATAATTACAAAATAATCCAAATTGCCTGTGTATATGTGTCTTTCTGTGTGTAGATCTTTGTAAAGCAGAGCATCAAAACAGTTCAAATCAAAACACCCATTCACAGACAAATAGTCCATAAGTGAAAGGCATATCATTTTACAATTAAATGATTAAATCTGGTTTAGAATGAGTGTGACCTCTGTCTTTAAAAAAAAAATGTATACAAAAGACTAAAACATACAAGACACAAAGAAGCCATTGCGATACCTGGTTTAAAGGTAAACTTGCTTGATCTCTAACTTTGACTTACACGCTGGATATATCTCAAAATAGCTCAAAGGTTGTGCAATTATTTGACTCCCATAAAATAACTTCGGTAGACTAAAAACAATTAAAGGTGTGTCTAATATGTAATAGAATGCTTTAATTTAGAAATGAGTCATTCATTGTCAGTACTGGTTATTCCTAACAGAGTCGCAGGGAGGCTGGAGCTCCCCTAACTGACATTGGTCGAGAGGAGGGATACACAGGCCTCATTTAAAAATGTTAAATGATGCTTTTTTTTCTTATGTGCCTAATTAACTCTAGATTCAGCTTCATCTTGCTAGAGACTCTTCTTTGCTCACAATTACTAGAAAGCTGACCCAATTTCTAAATGAGCAGTTACCAGCTGATTTAGTAAATCAGATGCTAATTACATAATAATTGTATGTGCTAATTGCTCCATACATTTGCATGCATAAACTAGGTCATAAAACTGAACTGTGGCAGCCTCTGTGAATGTTGTGGTGTAAAACAGAGTGAGACTGCTGGCAGCATGAATGTGGCAAAACCAAGCAGCAGGTCTGGCTGCTTTGGATGCTACCAAGGCTCAAGCCATGGTGAAAGGAAGTCAGTGTGTATAGTGTGCAATCAAAGGAAAAGGTGAAAAAATGGCAAAACAATAACCAGCACATGGGAATAAAATACTCGACCTGTTCAATTGAGAGTTCCTTCCTGGCAGCTCCAGAAATCTCACTTATTTTGTCCGCATATTTGTCCAGGCCCAAGGTTATGATCTTTTCCAGGGTAAATTCTGCACTGGTTGGATCAAACGAGCACTGTAGCTCCTCACAGATGTGTTTCCAGTGTCTGGATGACAGAAGGAGTTGAAAGTAAGGCGAGTGTTAATATGAACTGATCATGCAAATATGATGCCAGTACCTTCCAGGTGACTAATAGTAAATCAAGTCAAATACTATATCTATAATACTTAATTGTTTATGATCTTCCAGTATTACATTTACTGTAAAAACTTAGCTCTTGTGGCTTTGCAAGTTGGATCAAGGACACTCAGTAATGTACTAAATTGGTAACTTTTAACCTGCCAAAGACAGTAAACAAAAATGAAATAGTCTTTTTATATATATGAACTGACAAATATCTGGGAGATCCACGTAATTTAATTTTCAGACTCATAAAACATTTGAAAATCATGCCATTTTGACCGTTCTAACCAATTAAGACTTAACTGCTTGAATGACGTGTTCCTGTTGTGTTAGGTGTCGTGTTTAAAGGCATACTATGACTCAGAAACAATACCTGTCTCTTAAGGCTGGGTTCCTCAGATCAGCAATAAGAGGAATCATAAGCTTTAACTGTTCAACCTTCTTCTTGGAGAAATCGACTATGTCCCACTTCTTATCCTGCAATCAAAGATAGTGTTCTAAATATTGCGTAACACTGCAAATTTATTTAGTAAACTAAGAGTAACAATACAGTAGAAAGCCTTAATCTGCAAGTATTTGATTTAATCACAAATAACCAAACTGGCCTTGAGGTCTCTTTGGAGGATGTGGAGTTTTTTGAACATGTCCTGTGCTGTGGTCTCCATGATATCCGTCTCCAGTGTAGCAAGCTGACCGCTTCTCCAATTGTTCCAATTAGAATTCCAATTCTGTGTGATTTCCCAAACCTGCTGAAGTTGATTTATATCCTGCACAGCACATAAAGACACAAAAGAAGGGACATGGGTTTAAAGCTATTCCTTCAAAAAACATCCCATTTTTTTGCTGGATTTTCTCTTGTCTGTCTTGCCCTCTGTAGATCTCAATTGAGTATTCAAAGCAACAATTTCTAAATTAATATGTTCCTAATGTTCCTTCAGACCTTTTCCATCATCTGGATCGTTTTGGAAGGGGGGTTTTCAATTCTGAAGAAGATCAGCCCCTCAAGGATGGTGTTCTCCTCCTGTTTCAGAGTTTCAAGTTGTCTGTGATGTTCTGTAATTTGTTTTAGAGCCAAATCAGTCTCCAGTGTGCTGCTAAATGGACCTGGATGTGCAAATGCAAAAAAGGAGAAGATGTACACATGGAGACATAAATACAGACAAACCAAGAACTTCATACAGCATGTCAACCCTTAAAAGACAAAAAAAACACACACTGAAATATGAATATTATATCATATAAGAGGTTGTATCTTCCAAAAAGAGGATTTATGTAAGTTAGTGATAGTTAATTAATTGAGGAGAAAAGAAAAACAGCAGACCTTTGGCGCTGAACTCTTCCACAGTGTTCTCAATCTTCTTTTTGAACTCCTCGCAGGAGAGGATAAGATTGTTCTTAAACTTTTCCTTGTCTTTCTGAAGCATGATGCCACTGTCAATCAACACCTGCTGGAACGACATCCACTCCTCATTCAGCCCCTCACGCATTTGTTGAACCTGTGTGCAAACCAAATGAGACGGAAAGGATGGAAATAATGGTACTAAAAACTGGTTTTCTACATGTTTGCTTATGGGTAAATAAATACAGAAGGCTAAATCTGTATAAAAGATTAATTCTAATCCTGAGAAAATAACAAATAAACAAGTGGGTCTTGATAGGAAGAGACTCCATCCACTTGCAAAACAATCAAACGAAACAATGAAAGATATCTCCCTCAGTCACACCTGAAGAAAAAGAACACTTTACAAACAGCATTAGAGTAGATTAGCAACACTTGTTCCTTCTTTGTTCTTAAGCATGGTACTTACATTATTTTCCATTTGGACGTCATATTTGTCCAGTATTGCAAACTGTTCATGAATGAGAGTAATCCGAGCTTCCGTCTTGGTTAAACTACCCTGAAGAGTCTCCAGAAGCTTCAGGCTCTCACCAAGCTCCGTCAGTGTCTGGGGAGGCTGCCTCAGCCTGGACATAGACCCAGAATTACTATGATAAAATACCTTCTACAGTAGAAAAAGGTTTGGATATGTTTACTACATTTCCCACAATCTCTGTCTTCCATCAGCTGCAAAATCAACTGTAAGTGTAAATTAGTCAGATTATTAAGTCCATAGGATCAGGATCACATGAGGCTAAACTAAAGGGTGATACATCATTTGTGAGTTATCATTATCATAAAGTGTCTACAGTGTCAGAGGCAAAAGCAACGTTACTTATGATCTAAAAATAATGTTTCTTAACTTTATTCCTTACTTGTTGACATTTTCTTGCATGGATGCAATAAGTTCTTCTAGGTGGGCACCGGCAATCTGAGTGAGAAGCTGTGTGAACTTGGTTTGCCACTCAATGCAGTGTTGAACCAAAGAGGACTTGAGTGGTGAACTATCCAGCAGCACAAACTGGATGTTAAACACTGTTTCCTCCTGTTGAACACTGTTGGCTTTTTCTGAGTATCTGAGAAGAATTCAGAGGATAGTACAGCAGATTAATGTGTGCATGTGCTACCTAGTTGTTTTCAACCTCTTCCTAAAAAGGATGCACTACCAGAATAAAAAAAGACTTATGGGAAAAGAAAACAAACAACTTTCAACATTTTTGTGCAACGAGACAATTAAAAACTGTATGTCCCTCACTGGGTCTTAAACTTAGGTTATCACACAGATACTATAACATATAATTTGTTCAGTGACCAAGCAAACAAATCCCTTTGTGATAGTTGTTGTTTCTCATTTCATTGTGGAGAAACTTTAGAGGCTATTTTCACTGATGTTTCTGTGCTTCCTTGAGGTTTTCAAACTCCCACCAAAGCAGTTTGATCAGGTCTAGACTGACTGGATTATCACAACAGCTTGTTTCTTTCCCTTTTCAGCCTCTCTGTTGTAGAACTGTCGCTGTCCTTGGATCCTTGTCGATTTGAATAACCCAATTTTAGCTGAGCTGTAGCAGCTGTCAAACAGTTAGCTTCCCACTTGACTCTCAAGTTGAGTTACGGAGCAGTAGGGGTGCACTTAGTTTTTAAAAAAACACCAAAATATCACAATGTAAAATGTCATGGGTTAATCTGAGTTTATATTCAACCAAAAGATCTGGTAAGGTGAGCGTTTTATGATGAAGAATGATGTACCTTTGTATATCTGCATCAAAAGAAGACACTGGTTTGTTCTGCGTCTTGTAGTGTTGTATGAAGGAGTCTTTGTTCATAACCCAAATTGCACAGTATTTATCCCAGCTCTTCAAATAGGTCTTCAGTTGGCTGGCATTGGCCATCATCCCTGCTTTCACGGCAGCCTGAGTCTTTTTTATCCCCTCGTCTTGCTCTGAAAGATCCAAAAGGGCCAGTGTGACACGGATAGAAAAAAAGTGAAGGCAGACAGGTTTGGTCACATAATGTGCATTATCGATGTTCGATATGAAGTTTTAAAAAGACGCTCCCACCTATGTTGACATGTATGGGATTCCTCTCTGAAGTTTTACATGACATAAGTTCAGGGAGTCGTTTAATCTCTGAGACCACACGGATGAGCTGAGGCAAAATGTTCACTGTCTGAGTAAGTTTGCTCAGACTAGGAGTGAGCTCCACCTAGAAACAAACACAATATTACTATTTTTTCTTTCCTCTTTTGCCTATAGGACCTTTTGACTTTTCAAAGAGAGGAATGGAATATGGTAAAAAAGAAACTGTGGGCAGTTACAACAAAAACTTTTACTTTTTGCAGAAAGTTAGAAGGTGTATCCTAATGGGATTGAACCATTTCCATGGTTTAGTACACAGATAAAAACAAACTACCTTGAATTTAAAAAAAAGAAAGAAAGAAAATAACATAGTTTCATAGGCTGAAAACAGTTTGGCGGTACCTTTGGTGCAGTTTGAGGAGGCGTCTGGCACAGTGCTACAAGGACTTTAAACAAAGGGTTGGGTGATGTCTTGCTATCACCATTGATGGCTCTGGATAGCTTTTTCATAGAGTCCCTTACGTTACTTCTGAGAGCTTCCTCCACCATTTGGTCCACCTTTTGTACGTAGTTTCCCCAATGTTCCTGGACCTTAAGCATGAGAATATAGACATTTACTCAAAACAGAAAATTGTATATTTCAATTAAACTCTAACTGGTTTAAAGCAACAAGGTTTAATTTTTTTTTTAAAAACAGCAAATTAAAAAACACAGAACTCTTAACTACCATAGAAACTTTGTCTGACCTAATGTCGCTGTGCATGCACAGCATCATATAACATCTAATACATCTAAAAAAGTGCTCTACAGATTTATCAGATTACAATTTTCCTATAACTTTTAAGAGAAAGAAACACAACTCAGACCTCAGCTCCATCATTAGCAAAGATGCTGTGGATTTGGGTCATGATATCTACGATATCCTGGTGTGCTGAGCGCAGTATGTGGAGACAGCTCTGCTGATGAGCCATCTGGTCATTCTCAAACTCCAGGTTCCTAAAGTGCAGTGACATGCAGTGTAAAATAAAATTGGAAATACTTCCGTTGACATACACACAGTGTTAAATGAATGTATTTCTTCTTTTGATTACACAGCTTCACTATTAACCAAAGAAGAAATCACAAAGTTGCTGTTACCTGTACACGGTTTTGCCATCTAATTTTACCAACAAAGTATTGCTAATCTTCTGGCAGAGATTGGAGATGGATAGATTAGACACTTTGTAATTATCAACTAATGTCTGGACCTGGAGTGTGGATAGAAAGAAAGTGACAAATTGTTGTATTACTGTTGACTAAACAGGTCCCAGTAACTTCAGTTCATACTTTTATCAAAACTGTACTTTTTAATCCATATAACTCTTCATTATTTGACTATTTATCCTTATGATTAGACTGTCTCTTTGAATTTCTAGGTGAAGTGTGTGTCACAACCTTGTCCACATTCAGGAGACAGTCATTGATGAAGAAATTGGAGGTTCCTTTAGTCAACCAGAGGACCTTGCTGAGACCTGGTTTTATCTTCTTGTCAATGAACCAAATACGCTCTCGAAACAGACCAAACTCATCAGGAGACAGCATTCCAACAATCCTAACGTGTACAGACACCACACACACACAGAGGTTAGACATGCATTCTGTAAAACCTGTTTAACTTTATCAATGAACGGCACTGGAACTGACAAGATTATCAGTTTGTCACTGTGTAATTCTTTATTTCTTGTAGTGTCAATTAAGGAATGCAGAAAATGAATTTGTGTGTCAGACCTGTTGTAGTTCCTACTCAGCAGCAGAACACTCTCCCTCAGGATCCGGATGTTCTCCCTACCCTGGTACATGTTAGATACACTCTGGGGTATCTCATACTTCATTCGGTCCCAATAATGAATCTCAGAAAATAGCTTCAACAAGTTTCTGCACAAGAACATACATCAAAGAGCATTTTAAAAATGAGAATGAGCATGTTCCATGAACATGAGGAGAACAGACAATATAGAGAAAAATGTCAAACCATGTCCAAGTTTGCATACCATATGTTGGATGCTACTGACTGGTTAGAATCTACTCCACAACCCATTGGGAATAGTTGAAATAGGGTAAAGGCAATGCTAAAGATTGGACAGTTATTTGTTTTTGTGTTATTGTAAAATGTTGATGATGATGCAATGATTCAAATAAAATTGGTAAAAATGGCTAAAATATACAGAAACAAAATTGAGATTTCTGTCATTTCTCTTTGCCACACTCAGAATTTTATAAAACAACTCTAAATTTCTGTATGAACATCTCGAACTGCTCCTATATTACCGGTATACGTTTACTCATGTTGACTCACTTGTCAAAATTGACACCCAGCTTAGCTGGAGTGTCCTTGCTGCGCACCAAGAGAGGCTGATCCAGTTTCTTGAGCACCTGCCCATCCAACTTTTGACACCACTCACTGAAGTTCTTCCGAATAATCTCGTCCAAAAACTGGACTGTCTGAGCAGTGTTGGAAACAATATGTTTGAGTATGTGTGAATTTGGCATAAAGCAGACAGTCTCAATGACCTGAAAGGGACAAAAAAAAGAAAAAGTCAAGCTTATAGGCCAAGATGAAGGGGTGGGGACTCACAACAATGGCCAAGTGAATGGTATGAATTAATCATTGTGCTGCATCATTTATCTACATTTTTATCTAATAAGTATTAGATTATGCATTTCCTGATGCACTCACCTCCATGACTCTGCCTAAATGGTTTTTAAGCGCTTTGGCCCACAGAACCTTGCTCACTCTATTGGGCATATAATCAGGATGAGACATTGTTTCTTGGTTCAGCCACTTGTTTACCATTTTGAGCTCTCTGTCATATATGTTATACACTTCCTCTGCCTTTTCGTCAATGGAGCGCCTAATGGCCTGAGATGAAAGATATCACATGAAACAGAACAGAAAAAAGATAGATGAAAGTTTAAAAAGGTTAATCCAAAATTAAATAAATCTGTGGGTTTTCAAATAGGAAATACTTTAGTAAGGTTAATCTGTAAACCAGGCCAATCCTTTTTTTCTACATGTGTAGTGGGTTTGAGCGTGTTTGTGAGACACCTCGCGGGTAGACATAGGCCGGAAAACATCCAGAAGCCAAACTCCTTCCTGCACTGTGTTCACCGTCTTAAAAACTGAACCAATCAGGTTCTGTATCATCATCTCCAAGTCCTTCACAAATCCACCAAACCTGTATAAATCCAAACATGAGCATACATACACATGAAAAATAACAGAACAATTTATATTTTGTGTGTCATTATATAGCATACTAATTTCTTTTTGATAATATATTTTAACTAAAATGCTGATATTAAGCTCCAAAACTGAATATTGTTTCCTTGCCTTTTTTGATGTGTATTCCTCCTTGACAAAAAAACATTTTGTGTAACAACCACCCTGTGGTTTTTAATTTGTTTCCCAAAAACTGCTGACTTTGAACATGAGAGTAAATTAAGTTTAGCCTGAAATTGTGTTTGAAAAGTCCTGAATACAAAAAGCTGAGTAGAGAGTAATGATGGGATGCATCTACATAATGCCGGTAACAAATATCCCAGGGATTTACTCACAATGGAACATTTTTAAAGCATTTTTACTTATGCAAAAAACTATGATTTTTAGCAGTTTAGCTCGAAGTATTAATTGAAGACAGACCTATGGAATTCATTGTTCCATGTGCTATCTTTGACATCAAGTATGCCATTGTCAACAGAACGCAGGTTCTGGAGGCCACGGTGGAAGTTGCCCTCAATCTCCAGTAGTGTGTGGGTGAACTCTTGTCCTTTAGAGCCTCTAAAGCAAGGCAGATCTCTCTGCTGACCATCCTCCCAGCGGGCAAATTGCTGCTGGCAGTCACAAACCTGGAGGAAACCAAATCAAAATAAATAACAGCCTAAACATCAAACATCACAAATGTATCACAAAAATGCTATGGCGTCATTCAGTCTGTATAAGTAAGAAATTGAAATATTTACCTCAAGTAGGTCTTTCAGCCTCTTAACAAAAGCGTCCATCACCACAAAAAACCTTGTTTGGTCCAGGACCCAACCGATCTGGGAAAACCTGAGAGCAGGAAATCAAAATAAAGCCCTTCAAATGACAGCAGACAAAAATGGATTGCTGTTCAATTTCTCATATTTTATTCTTCCAATAAAAGAAAACTACTACAGTGGCACAACTTAGCAGAAATATTACAACACACACAGTATGTATTTTTAAAATTATACTTGTTTACATTGAGTATAAATAAACTCGAAAACATCAATGACAAAAATGTCCTTTCATTAATATTTCAGAAAAAACACATTTGTCCCTGCAGTGCTTTTCCTACAGAAGTCTTCTCATTATTGAGCTTGTTAAATACACGTGGTACATTTGTTTTTTGGAATTTAAAGGTCTTTTTCAGTGTAATGAATGACAAATTTGGCCAGCTTGACATTAATGTTGACATTACTACTGCAAATGCATCTGCATAAATCATCTATTTTAACCACCCACTTTCAAATCAAATGCATTTACTTCGAAAATGCATTTAAAAAAACCTTAGAGAAGGTTAAAACATTCTTACTTGTGATGAAACTGTGAGACATGTTCATAAGTTTCCTTCCACGACAGGCAGCACTCCATGCAGTCATGGAGGAGTCTCTTGCTTGATAACACATAGCCCTCAAAAATCTTGTCCAGTGAGATCTTCTGGCTGCATAATCGGATGATCTCGTTATTCATCTGAAATGTTGGAGACCACATTCATTTCTGAATTTAAATAAAGGTACCTTAATTAAAGCCTGCTGTTCATATCTCTCGACTAAAGTGTAATCTTCAAATGTAGTAGAAGGGTGAGGGAGCACAGGAAGGTTAGACTTATTTTCTTATTATCCAGGTACCTGACAGAAGAGTCCAGTGATTCTTTCAGTGGTGTTATAATAGGGGGAGTTGACCCAAATGACGCGAATGAGAGAAACAATGTGTCGCAGCTTTGAGGCAATCTGTATGGGCTCAAGCTGGGAAAGCTCTTCACAGGGCTCCCGCAATATGGACAGGAAGGTCAGATTTGATTGCGCCTGTAGAGAGCAATCCTGGGCAGCACATAAACACATTGAGAAAAAAGGAACAGGTTTATTATGATTGCATGTCAACATTCTACAGGAGCGTCGTTGTGAATCTACTAAGTAAAGCAGCAATGGTAATGAAAAGTCCAGTTTTGTATTGTCTATACACCATCTATCAGAAAACGCCTCTTTTGGTGACTCAAATACACAGTTGTTTTCTTAAATCATAAATACAGTAACACACAATATATTATACCTTTGCAAAGAGAAAAGTGAATGCAAATTTAAATACCCGTATGTCCTTGGCCAGCTGGCAAAATCGATGTACATACAAAGATTTTGCGTGCACCAAGATGTTCTGGATGTGCTTCACTTGTGGCTTTTGCAGCTGTTGACTGATGTTAGACAGTTTGGTTGAGCGACTCTTCCAGAAAGCTATCTCCTGCAATGGACCGGAGTTGTCTTTCATCTCAACTATTTCTTGGGCATTCAGAACCTCCTTGATCTGATCAGTCCAGTGGATCATGATGACTAAGAAAGATAGTGGAACAATGGAATGGAATAAGAGCAGAAGAATGGGATTGGGATGAAGAACATTGTCTTATATTATGTGAAAATCCCAAAGCAATACTCAATGTTAGAATAAAAAAAAAAAATCTTTTGAGAAAGAGAAAGGATCTGCTCGGGGAAACGGAGGTATGAAAAGAGTAGAGGAACAGTATAGCATCACAAGTGAGGGCTAATTTAATTACACAGCTTAAGTCATTTACATTGTTTTGATCTAAAAATCAGACAAAATTTCTCAAATTCAATGTTTTTTTAAACAGGCCCACCAAGACCTCTATCCATGCACGCATAAACAGCTTTCAAACTTACTCTCCATTCTCTGGATCAGTTTCTTGTCTTTGCTGGCCTCCTGAGGACTGAAGCGAAGGGCTTCCGTTGGGATGTACAGAACTGTGTTGCCTGACCTTTCATACAAGTCATCTGTCCAAGAATAGAATTTTGTGAAATAATACACACTAAAATGGGATGATGTCAAGACCGATTATCTCCCATCTCTCTAAGACCACTGCATATGAAAATCCCATCTTGTTGCATAAACGGTTAACCCATTCCTTTCCTTCCGCTGAGGCACCAACCTGTTGTGCAGGCAATGAAGAAATGCATGTTCTTGGTATAATCGTCCTTTATGTTCTGCTCTTTGTAGGTTATGAGCGATACTTGGGGGGCCTGCAGACAGGTCATGTCATGTAACAGCCTCTGGAGGGAATCGCCCCTCACTTTGCCAAAATTTATGGCCGCATCGAAGGTTTCTTCAGTTATCGTGGATCCTGATACGCGGATAAAGTAGTACAGCTCTTCTACCACTTCTTCCTATAATAAAGACATTGAGATCATGTTTTTTTTTCTTCTACAAACTGGGGAATGAACAAAAACCTTGCTTTGATATCAAACTATATATCTAAACCAATGATATGAATAAATAACAAAATAACTTTGAATTTCAGGTTATTTAAATATTCTTAACCAAACAAGGCCAAAGAACAGAATAAGTGCACTTAAAAAGTACCATTAAATACCTGTAAAGGCATACTGTACTCCACTCGGAGCCCGTTTGAGATGTGCATGTAAACTATCACAGTTGTGATAGAAATGTCCAGGATAAATTGATCCAGGTGCTTGAAATGTTCTTCTGTCCATGTCTCCTCAGTCACACCAGCAATGGATACACAATGGATAAACAACTACCAACAGACAAAAATATGTATGGTGTTCATAGAGGGAAGGGCAAACAAAACATTTAGTATTTTATGATTACATATGTACTCAACGCATATTAGATATCAAAAACATTTTTATAAACTGCATTGATATCACTGACAGATTTACCTGCCGGACAGCCTTTGTGCTTTCCTGTTCCATTTCTTTCACATCCTCAGCATGCCAATATCTGTGCTTCCTCTGTGGCCACTGTTACAGGAAAAAACAAGTTATGATCCCTAACCATAAATCTACCGTAGCTTTAAAATCAGTTTCAGTAACTGTAAATTATTTGAAACTTAACAAATATGAAGAATTTATGATACCGTACTATATTTGTTTCTGGCTTATTTTACATTAATGTTTGCTCGTTGGTTTTCCAAGCTATCATTAGGCATGTAGATTTTGGCAGCATGCAAATCCTTTTCATTATGTTCTTCATCAGAACATAGTCAGTTACCTTCGGAGCAACGCCGAAGTTCTCTCGACTTGACGTCCACACGACGTGTTTATGTAAACTTTTTTTCCTGTAACAGCAAAAACTGTTTTAGAGGGTTACAAATGTACAAAATGTTGTTTCGACTTGATCAGAATAATATTTTATCACCAATCTAGATTTCACTCGGTAAAATTGAAACACTTTAATCAAACCTACCGCTCTGTGTGACTGTCGTTATGGTAACGGTTGGTTGTCTGGGTAACCCTCGAGGACAAGGGCAGTAACGTTAGACGGAAGAACTCGGTTAAGGCGAACGTGCTCGCTCACGAGCACACTGAGCCCGTGGTGGACGTTGGTCTGGGCTGGGAATGGAGTCTGTGGTCTTTTTGAAGAATTTTCAACAATGTTGGCTTGAGCTGGCTTACTTGACGTTATCATTAGAGGGACGATGGGATTTTACACCCTGATGCAGTGCTTGGAAGTTGACATACGTTATGTACAGGGTCAAACAACTATTTCTAAGTTATCATTTGAGTAACTAATTTTGATTTGTTTAAAAAAATATGTTCAACACATTTTTAAATGTACTGCAAAACCATTCACCCTCACGCAAAAAATGAAAAATTCAATACTGAGCTTATTCTGATTTGCATCTCGTCATTCATCAGTTCAAAGCAAATTCTAACAGGACGCCCTCCAGTGGACGAAGAACTTACTTTCTGCAAGGATCAAATTTACGAGAAATTGAAGATAACAGCCAACAACCACACAAAACAAAAAACAAAAGAAATCGACACATATACTTTATTGAAATACTAAAAAATGTGTGGATGTTGCTGGCAAAGTTGTAGGCTTGAAGGCACCATGCGCTGCTCTGATCTTCAATCTTCGGCATTAATATAGCAATCACAGAGCACATGTACTCGACCTTTGGACACTGATAATACCCCAAAGAGCCTGACTTTTGGACTTGTTACTGATGATTGGATGATCCTCATTACTGGTACACACTGCCTCCATTTGTTGTTATATACTTCACTTGTTTTTCCGTTAAACAACAATAAAGAGGAAAATACATAAGGAAAAAAACACGATAATTACAATCTGAATGTAACATGTAATGACGGAAACAGTCATTACTCAGAATCCCATTTTATCATTTTAAATTGCACAGTAATAGGCTGTTGCAAAAAATATGTGTGTGCTGACTGACCATAAAGTACATATTCCCTGTGTGATCGTCCATCCAAGAACCTTCAGGATAAAGTTTTGTGCAGTAATAATTGAAGCCTACCCATGTACGATCTTTATGCTTCTGCACAGTTCTTGATACAGTTGGATTGCAGAGGTGTCCAGCTTAGGTTGGCAGGCTTGCCCTTTATGAGGTCATGTTTTTGTTGATATCATACATTACCAAATCTTTTACTTATTTTTTTATAATTTGTATACATTGTAACAACTGTCCTTCATTTTGCCTTATTCTAACTCTCACTGAAATACTTGGAAAATCTAATTTTCAAACCTTGTTTTTTTACATGCTTTCCCCTTCTTAAATTTTTTTAAAATTTAGTCTGTAAATACATATATATAAATTAAAAGAAAAATGTACTTTCAAATAAACAATTAGTAATAAAACTTGAGTACACGGGCCATAATATGATTCATGTAACCATAACCCCCAAACCCAGAGGAAGTTTGACTGCTCTCAGTTCCTTTTTGATTGGTCAGAGCCTGTGACATCACTAATTGTGAAATAATCTTATCCTGGCGCCTGACTTAATTTTTTCTATGGTAAGTGGTAAAGCATGGAAGTGATAAAAAATTATTATGGTACTTGCACTACACAAGGTTCAATTTAATTTCCGTTTAATGTAAAAATTTTTTTTTTAAAAGTGTTCTTAATTTAGGATTTTATACAGAGTAATATTTAGATTGTCTCAGCTGGAGCTGGAAACCTCCTAATTATAATATTTTTGTTAGCACCAGGGTAAGCTCATCTGAACTTAAGTCCTGGATACTGTTATAACCCCCCCCCCTTCAACACAGACCAGGGACCACACAGACAAAGCCCCGAGGAAGTCTGTGTATGCTTTTTCAGAGGTGCAATCCTTAAGTTTGAACACAACCTTGAACTCACCCACTCCATCTATAGAGGTTTCTTTCTCTCATTACTGGATCTGGCTTCCTCCCGGCTCATTTTCTCGTCTTGTTTGTCTCTCCGTCCCTCACAGGAGTGTAGAGTCCTTTCCTGCAGGGAAGTACAGGCCCCCTCTCACACACTGACTCTAAACTTCTTGTCTGTGAAGCATCACTAGAAATCGTTTGTTTGAACAGGTCCTTTTTCATTCCACCCCTCCGTGTTCTTTTCCAGCTCAGGAGGCATGCATATTAGCATGAAAATGAAATCTAAGTTCACCTTTATTAGGCAAGTATGCATATAATATAATCCAAGGAATGCTTGTAATATCAAAAATATGTTTTATATTGTGTGGTTCTTTATGAATATAGGAAAATCTATATGATTGTGGTCTCAAATGATATCTCCCTCAGGTTTTTTTCCTTGTTTCTGCCATGGTAACAATAAAACAACCGAACGAGTTGGTAAACTCATGTGATTTTCTTGCTGTATACGGTAGGAAAACAATTATCTTAGTTTTTCGAGCTCATTATTGGATAGTGATTCACTTTCACTTGATACTCACATAAAAACAAGAGAGCCTACCTGTACATCATTGGCCTGAAAGGTGCACAGTCCTCCAATCTCAATCAAAAATCTAATTAGCATATTCATACAGAAGTCCAGGCTATATTAGAAACTCAAATCCTGTAGGGGGCACAAAGCCCATCCCTCAAACACTGAAAAGTAACAATAACGGAATATTTTTTCTTGACAATGGCTGACGCTTTGCTTGGTTCTTTAGCTTGAAAACAGTTTGAAAGTTGAGAGCAGGTGACAAACTAAGAGGCATCTAGTTTTGCAGTTCAAATGTAGGTAGAACACTGGATGGCCACAAAATGGCTGGAGACATAGTGGAAGGTTGGCCAAAACAGAACACCATGAGTTTGTGATCTCATGACTAATGAAAGCCTGACTTTACCAAGGAGGGGTTGAGAAGAAAAGGACAAAAGGGATAAATAAGCAGGACAGATGGACTGGTTGGGCTAGATGAGGCTGAAGATACACACCGTCACTTGCTTAGATGGAAATAAAAGGAGATCAGATGAGCAAAGAACCAGAGGACCACAGTTGTTCAGCTTGCAAATGGTCAATAGAATAAAGAAGCCCAGCTGGAGGCAGCAGCCCTAATAGCAATCCAATATCTTAATGAAAGTACAAACAACACACACAGACTCACACAAAAATGCACACACAGTACATTAGGCAGGAATAAGCTGCTGGCTAGAGCACAATGAGCTCAGGGTCTTTTAGGGAAGTAGAGTAGCCCCTGGAAGATACACTTTGCTTATTACACCACGATTAGTCCACAGATACTGGCTTTGTTCAGCCACAGAGGCCCAAGGTATGCCCCACCTCATGAAAAGCCGCTCACAAATGCACACAAAAAAACATACACATGTGTCTGAATGCATGCTTTCAGGTATAATGAGGCCAGAAAACAGACATTTGAACATAAACAAGAATGGCCTACGCTCAGAGGACTCACACATCCACACACACTTGTAGGCAAAACCTTTTTTCAACCTCCTCGACCCAGCCCGACAGCACCCTTTGTTCTCAGCACACTGTAAGGAAAGGTCTAGTGATAATGAAGCCAGAATGGGCTATTTTTTTAAAGGATCACAGCTGGAATATTGCCAGAGCCCCATCTGTGTGTGTATGTAAGTGCATGTGTGTATCTGTGTATAACAAGAGCAATTAATGTGTGTCCATGCTGCCAAAAAGAGACATTATTTCGTCTTCTATAACTAACCATAGATTTAAGTAAGATGACTAAATGTTTCAGCTTTGAATACAGAAAAAAATAATAACAGTGACAGAACATATACCATTTTCCACTTTAAAGAGAGCTGTGAACTGTTATTAAATTGAATATTGAAAAAAGAAACACGGAGAAAGAACAGAAAGAGGTTTAATTGTAAGGGGAAAAGTTAAGTGCTTCCTCTTTGAAAGAATAGTTTCTTTTCTGTTTTAATCCTGGCTCTGTGGTGGCTC